CTGTTTGAGGCTGCACAATAACATAAACAATGGCAGCGGTGTGTAGCCTCAAACCGCTGCCTGTTTGAGGCTACACAATAACATAAGAAAAAATTTTAATTATTTTTTTAAAAATGGGTAAAATTTGGAAAAATTATGAAAACTTTAAGAAAATTTTGCAATGTTTTTGAAGAAGGAAATAATCAAATATATATTTTTAATTTAATATAATAGTTTTTATTTATTTAAAATAAAATTTTGAATTATGATTTAAACTATCCAAATAATCTGAAATATTTCAGAAAAAATTCAGGAATTTTTTTTTTTTAAAAATTTCCCCTCTTGGATCTATAAATACCCATAGAGGTGGGGGAAAAATCATTGTTCTCCTAAGTCGATCCAAACTATTTTCCCATAAATTGAGAGGAAAATAGATTGGTCAAAATTTGGAGTTCATCAACGTCGATAAAAGTTCGGTCCTTTGATGTAGGCTTTGGTCTTCCTCTATAAAAGAAGCTAAGATAGTTTAGCAGGAGTCTAAAGGCTGTCAATAACAGTGAAAGCCTGATCTTCCTTTGTAAAAGGGATGAAGACTATCCTATAGGAGTCTAAAGGCTAGAAAAGCGGGAAAAGCTCGGTCCTCTAACGCAAACTTCTGTATTTCTTTATAAAAGGGGGCAAAAAGGTCCTCTAACACAGGCTTCGATCTTCACCCCTTTTACAAAGGAAGAATGGAACGTGTGTGTATTACTTCAAATTAGATCTCCATTTACATATTAAATTCTTACTTAAATTTCCTCAAACTTTTGATTCGTTCTGGTGTTTTGTTGTAGTTCAATGGCTAAATTCCTCTAATTATCCAAAATAACAATAATTGCTTTAACTACTATTAGAATTAATCATGAAGATGTCAAACATCTTCAAAGTAGCATCACACACATCAGATGTCATCAAATACTACATTGAATGCATCAAACATCACAAAAACTACATTGAAGGCCTTCAAAGTATCAAGTTATCTTTCTAATTATATTACTTGTCACATTCTATAAAAATTATCCAATTGATGTTTACATTGCTTATGTTGCTTACATCTAATTTTCTTCCTCGTCATCAAGTCTTGATCGCAACGACCGAACTTCTTTTTCTATTGCAATTTCATAATATAATTAAATTTATTAATCAAATTGAAATCACAAGTCCAATATTTTCTATGTCAAAAATTTGATATTCACTTATTCAATTCAGTCATTTATGCTTCTTATTCCATCAAACAAGTTCAGACTTAGCTTAGCCTTTGATTAAAACCATGAACCATTTGTAAGAATGCAACTCCATCTTATTCCTCCTCATTTTTGACTTCACAAAATTGCTATAAAAAAGTTAATTGAAAAATAAAAAATCAATCATTTATTCCTTCTATTCGAAAAAAACACCTAAATTCCTCTCAATTGAGTATAAACTCACGAACCTCAACTTTCTCGTCTTCTTCTCTTTCTCATTCAACAACACAAAAAAGGCTACTATGGTGCTCCTACCAACTTTGACTCCTCCATAACAGAGTGAAATGGGTCTTCTACCTACACAAGGAGTTGCATCTATCTGTGCTCGTAATGCTTATAGTTTGATTCACTTTGTCCATCAATTTTTATTGGGGTTGACCCATAATTTTTTTTAGATATATTTTTAAAAATGAATTAGCAAATATATTATTCTAATTTAAATTATTATGAGTCATAAAAAATAAAAAAAATTTAAACAAACCCTATTCTTATTTCAAATCAATTGATTAATGAAGTATCAAATGTCAAAAACAGTTTAGTGCGGTAATCACTGAAGTTAAATGCTTGAAAATTAAGGCAAAACATGCTTCGGCTCATTCGAGAGCAAGGTCCAACGTTGGCGAAGACAAGGATCGTCGTAGTGGGGTTTCTTTTGCCACCGTTATTGGAGAATAAGCCAAGTATCCAATACGGACCTTGCTTTCATCTACAACGACGACTAGGGTTGGTCCCCCGCAGCTTTCCGATTCAACCCCATCCTCTGCGTTTCACATTCTTCCTCTTCAGATCTCCGATCGCTCCTCTCTTGCAGCTCAAGGTTAAGAGATATTTCAGACGAGAGAGGAAGGCATGCCGGCTGTTGAGGTGCATCAACTCGCTCAGTGCATTACCTGCCACGCATGGAGTCCCGATCGAACAAGTAATTTATTGCTTCATTTCTTTCCGATAATACGAGCTCCTGTTGTGTCACTCTTCTTCCGCTTGCCATGTACTTTTGAAGCATTTTAGGATGAAGGCGATCAGCTCCAGTGGGTAGAGTCTTTGCATGTTTGTGCAGGATGGAATTACTCATTAGGGTTGTCTTAGCAGGCCTGTTTAATTTGAATTTTATTTCGTAAACCTAAAGTAGTAAGACCAGCATATAAGAACGTTACTTGTTCGGGCAAAAGGATCAATTGTAAATGGGTGGATGCCATTATAATTGCCCTGTGGTTTCAAGGTGGTTGGAGTTAGCACCATGAACGAGGGGAAGTCCTTAGAAGAAAGGACTATAGCTGGTTCACAAGGTTCTCTAAACTACATCCATAACCGCCAATCATATTCCCAGATATGCACGGCCTCAGAACTAACTGGGTTTGAACTGTTTTTAATAATCTCATATAGATATGGTTAGATGTACTGCCGTTATTCTGGTACTTGTGAGAGGGACATAATTCCACCAGATCAGGCCTAGTTTGATTGGGGGTTTTTTGTGCTTATTCCGTTTTAAAATGGTAAAGTTATTTCTTCTTTATTGTCTGATTCTTCAAACCATGTTCCCAATAACAAAATTTTTTCATGCTGTTGTGAGAAAGCTTTTTATATGTGCTTTCTCCGTTAGAAAACTCATTTTTCTAAATCAATATCTCTTAAAATCGCCTTTTACAAAAGTATTGAATAACCAAACGAAGCCAAATTCTTCTCGCCTTGATGATGATGTTGTCTGAAACTCGAACTTGAAACTCACATGGATTTATTGGCTTGAAATTGAAATCCATTTGTTTTTGAAATTAGTTAGATTCTTACTCAAAATTGACTCTATTCATGATTATCCATATGTATTTATATTATAGTTCAAAATATGGCTGTGTATGCGCACACGCATGCGTATGATTATTAATTTTAATAAGTTTTTTATTAGATTAATAAAATCACCCAAATTTGTTCAAAACTTGTTCAAAATTTATGAATTTTGACAAGTCTCAAATTTGTCTTAAGTAAAACTTGAAATCTTCAATTTTGAGTTGAGTTCATCATGCTCTAGCATCTCTTTATCATGCTTTCCTAGGCCTACTCATACTTCTCTCTCGTTCAAGTGTGCATGCACGCCCAACATTGCTTATTCTAGTATGCATATTGAATATTCAAGTTCTTCATTTATGGCAGTACTTATGATAAAACCTGGAATTTAGTGCAACTTTAAAATTTGTAGATAGAAAAATTGTTCATATCATCAGGTAGCATATTAGTTGTTGCAAATATCCCAAAAAACTACCTTTAATGCTGATTCTTTTTCTAGCACAAATTTTATTGTGTTAAAAGCATACTTAATTTTTCTCTAAGGCCTTAGCCTTAGGCCTCAAGTGAGCAAGGTGTAAAATGACCGCTTGTGCCTTGCCATGGCATATGTCAAATGGGCAAGCATCTTAGATGAGCCTTGATAGGCTAGTGGCTCATATAAAAAATGCTTTTATTATAAGATAAAGTGACACACAAGTCTAATAAGTTTAAGTATTTTGGATTTATCATTCAAAATAATGGCAATATGTATGGGAGTATACCTTCAAGTATTAAGTTTGGATTGTTAAAATGGAGATGTGCCTTTGGAATATTTTATGATAATTGGATATCATGGAGACTTAAATGTAAATTTTATAAAACCATAATTAAGTCGATGATATTGTATTGATCTAAGTTTTTGACATTAAAATATAATTGATATAAATGTTTAGCATGACAAAAAATAAGAATTTTAATAATGGAAAAAATAGGAAGGATAATTTAAGAAATGGTTATATTAGAGGAAGGATTGAAGTAATATTTATTGAAGAGAATATAATTGAAATATATATTTAGGAAGCTCATTTATGTTTGTTTCGTTCATTCATATTTGCTTAAATTTTACAATTAGCAATCAACCTAACATTAATGATTAAACTTCCTCATTTGGGTTTAGAATTGACAATGGATGGTTTATCAATACCAGGAATGTCTACTATTTAGGCTTAGAAATCAAACCTTAACCTAATATCAACCTTTAATCATTCTCAAATATGTAACAACAAATTGAAATCAAAATTATGATAATTTTAGAGGAATCAACATTAGAAGTCATGTAATGAAGTTATGTATTGGGTATTAGTGCATACACCAAAAATAGTTGATAATCAATTTGGTTTATTAACATGAAAATCCATATGGAGGTTATTTTGTAGCTAAGATTGGTAATAAAAATATAAGAAACAATGAGAGGATCTTTATAAATTTTTTTGTTGAAATTGAAAAAACATGCATTCAAGTACCATGATAATTGATTTAGTGGACAGTTAGGAGAAAATATGCATATAAATGATAAGTTGGTTAATAAAAATATTTATGGAGTATTTGGCATTATAAATATTTGTTGGCAAGTTCGTTTCTGTTTATAATAATGATGGATATATTTATAATATTCATTCAAATTCAACTACTTTGATGTATGCTATTTGCAAGTTTCATAGTTGATTGGTGATGCATCTTCCCTAATAAGTTCAAAGTTTGAGAAGTAGAGGAAACTATTAGAAAACGATGATTATTATCAGAAAGAAGATTTATGACATGAGTTGAAATTTTAATGGATTTGAAAGTTATAATATGAGTCAAAATAAGTGGAAGATTATGTGATTCTAATGTAATAGATTTATATTTCTTATATTTGTCATAAAAATTAATGGGAAGATCTATCATACAAATTAATGGGAAGATCAATTTGGACATCCCTTTTCGTGTTAAAACTACATGGTTAAATGGGGAATTGCTTAATGAGTACTATGTAATAAGCGAATATCGTAGAACTAGCTATATATATGGATCAATTGATAAATTGATGGAAACCAATTTAAGTTTTGCAGAAATGAAAATGGTAGGTAGGATGTATTGTAAATATGTGAAAGATAGAGTGAGAAGTGATTATGTTAAAAGAAAAAAAATAAGAGTAATAAATTGAAAATAAACAACAACAACAATAACATCAAGCCTTTGTCCCACTACGTGGGATCGGCTACATGAATCCTTTTTCGCCATTGTGTCATGTTAAAACTCAAATTCTCATTTAGATCTAATAAAGAAAAATCATTTCTAATATTTTCTAACCAAGTCTTTTTAGGTCCATCTCTACCTTTCCTAACATAAGTTAAATTTAATACCTCAACTTTCTTAACGGGGTCATCGGAAGGCCTCCGTTTAATGTGACCAAACTATCTAAGGTGACTCTCTCTAATCTTATCTTCCATTGGAGCTACTCCAACCTTTTCACGTATATGCTCATTTCGTATGCTATCTCTAATGGTAAAGCCACTCACCCACCAAAGCATCCTCATTTCTGCAACACTTAACTTAGTATTAGGCTTCTCTTTTAATGGCCAACATTCGGCGCCATAAAACATTGCAACTCTCACCACCATCTTATAGAAGTTTCCCTTAAGTTTGAGGGAGACTTTTCGCACAACAAGCCCGTTGCATTCCTCCACTTTAACCATCCAACTTGAATTATGCTGATAATATCCCCATCTATTTCAACATCACTCTGAACAATAGATCCAAGATATCTAAAACGTGTACTCTTATTAATGACTTAATCGCTTAAAGTCACAATCCCCTCACTAGGTCTATTACTACTGAAATTACATTCCATATATTCAGTTTATAGTAGTAGAAAATAAACTTAGATTATTTGAACATGGAAAAAAGCTCAAAATAGTCCCCTATTCATATGTAGCATTTTTTATTCTAGAATATCACATTTCTCTAACTTAGTGTTTTTATTATATAAAATTGATCCCAAATGGTCCTTGATAGATTTAATTGGGATCGAATTTCTATAGTCGAGGGACCAAATTAAGATCAATTTTATATTGCAAATTTTGTCAAATTTTTATTGAGATATCATTTGAGATTAATTTTATATAATTGAATGACTAAATTGAAGAAATGTGAAGCTGTGTGACTAAATTGGTTGCATTTAAATAATGGGGGGACTTTTTTGAGCTTTTTCTAGTTTGGAAATCCACAACTGAAGTTTGAAGATGCACTAGTAAGTCATATAAATAAAATTGATGTGAAGTGATCATAAAGAAAGTGAGAATTTAATTTGGTGAAAAAAAAGTGAGAATTTAACTAGTGAAGCTTGGCAAAAAAAACGTTCAAAATAAAGTTAACACCTTAACAGGATTGGATGTAAAAGTAGGATTCACAAAGTAGTCTCTAATAATTTGATAAGCTTAATAATGTTAGTTATTATAATTTTTTCCTCAATTTATTTCATATGAAGACTTGAAATGCATATTGCATTAAAACATACTCGTAGTCCCTAGTTTATACCTAATACTTGAATTTAGGATGGTTGAATGTAGATGTTGTATAATTGAATTCAAATAGGTATGCAATTTTTTTTAATAGAATTAATTGATATTATGATTCATAGGAAGATAAATATTTTATGCATTCAGGAAACCAAATGAGTTGGAGAGAAAGCTAAGGCGATTGATAGTTTAGAATTTAAACTTTGGTATTATGATAAAAGTCATACTATAAATGATGTAGGTGTGATTATAGATAAGAGTTTTAAGGATAATGTTATAAAAATTGATAGAATTGGAGCCAAAATTATTGCTTTGAAGATTATTGTTGATGTAAGATTATTAATAGTATACGTGCTTATGCTCCTCAAGTAGGTTTGGATACGTGTTTAAAATTAAGTTTTGGAATGAATTAGAAGAATTAATTCAAAAGATTCATCTTGAAGAAAGAGTTTTATTTGAGGAGATTTAAATGGACATGTTGGTAGAGAGGTAGAGGATTTTAAAAGTATTCATGGTGGCTACGTGTTTGGAGTAACTAATGAAATGTGGTAAGATTATATTAGATTTTGCTTTAGTTTATGATTTTGTAATTGCTAATACCTTATTTAAGAAAAGAGATGAGCATCTCATCACTTATAAGAATGAATATAGTAAAACTCAGATTGATTATTTTCTTATAAGAAAAATAAATTGTTTAGATTGCAAAGATTGTAAAGTTATTCCGAGCGAAATTTTATGTACCAAACACCGCTTATTAGTTTTGGAGTTTAAGATGAAGGGGCAAAATATGAAAAATTTAATAAAACATTGTTCTAATATTAGATGGGGGCTTTTTAAAAAATACTAATAAAAATATTTTTGAGAAAAAAATACTAATAAAAATATTTTTGAGAGTATGATTCGAGATCTTAAGATCTTATCTGTGCATGAGGAAGCAAAATTGATAGATCTTAAGTTTATGTACCCATTTCTCATCCTTTATAATATTTGATCATGTTGGTTGTTAAGGGAAGCATTTAGACTCAATAAGGATATAAACTATGTTTTTAATGCTAAATTATCTCAAGCTATTTTTTGCTGATTGTCCTTCCTTTGACTTGGCTTAGGCTACCTTACATTATCTTATACTTAATAAGTGTTGTTCGAACTTTATATGTTATGGGCATCTCTTTTTTTATTCATATTTCCATTTAGAAATATTTGAAAAGATAAACGAGGCTTTTTAATATAAAAAATACGCATTCTATTCCTCTAATAATCATATACCTTATCTCACCCTGAATTCAAATGGTGTTACACCTCAGTAGCACGAGACATGAAGAAATTAAGAAATTAACTCACGTGATAAACCTCAAGAGTTAGGGATCAAATAAATTAGTTTTGTATCATTGAGAAAATGATTCATATATAAACAGATGAAATTAAAAGTCTGTGATTATAAGATGTAAAAGTTGAAGCTTTATTGAATCAGTGTAATTTCTGACATTTTAGTAGCAAGGGAAACAAAAACATCGAACTATTTTTTTTTTTTATTTTTTATTTTATCGAACTAACGAAAGAAGATAAATCAACTACATTTGCATAATAAATTTGAACCTAAGACAGTCCAAACAAAGTACTATTGCTAAATCTACTCCTACGATGATGACCCACCGATTAGCCTGATTGAATTGTTAAGAGAAAAAAATTAACAATGCATGAGTTTGCTTGACAAACTTAATGTATAATTACTTATTAAATCATAAACAATAAGACGCATGTCATGCAATAGGGTTAATGAAAATGGCATTACTAATAATGCATATTAATATTACAAGTGTTGTTTGTGCATCATATAAAATAATATTACATGACATGATTAATAAAATAGTATCCATTAATCTATAAGAATTTATGGCATAAAGTCTATAGACCTTCATATGAAGCACAATCAATGCATCTACATGCTAACAAATTCGTGTGCATCCACATAATGCATATATAGAGGAATGTCTATTCAAATAATTGATTTATTCTTTGTACTTTGTTCTCCCCCTTTCATAATATCTCGAAACAGAAGGAATGCTTTAACTAACCTAATGGAATTTATTGACCCCTTTAGAAGATTTGTCCCTCTATTAACTTGTAGGCCTAACTAGCCAATATTATCCCCTTAAGGATAGTACCAACACTCTAACAGTTACGTTCACCCAATACACAAGCATAGTTTATACTATATTATATTTTGATCTAGGTGTTATAATAAATAGTTTATGAACAATATGATCAAAGTTTACTTTATAATAATAGAGTATGATTTGCATGTACAATATTTATGAGTTTATTTCACATTAATCAAAGCAGCATATTAACTTGTTATGCATCACATGATTCATCTCAAGATATTTGTCTTTGTAGGTAAATCTAACCATTATATGACATATCAATTTGCATATAAAATAAGATCTCTAAAATTGTTTAAGGTCAATTGGATAACTCTTAAATAAGCAAGTAAGCCTACAACAAGTAACAAAGATATTATCTCTGGAAAAAAAGAAAAAAAGAAAATAAGGTACATTTATTTCCTAATAAATAGAAATTACCCACATCAAGATCTGGTACGAGTGGCCATTGCCTAATTGAGATATAAAGGAGCAACATTTGGCAAAGAGTGTTCGAAAATCTTAGTTAAGAACTTCAAGTTAATCACATATGCTTCTATACAATTTTTAATTTAAATAAACAACTAATTATGCCTAATTACTTAGAATTAGGAAAACAAAGCCCATAATATTAACATAAATCCAGTATTTCAACAGAAATTATCCTATTCTAAATCATTTCAAGTATAAAACCTCAATCAAGCCAATCTCAAAATCCATTTAAGTTATCATGAAAACTAATTATTTATCCAAAACTTTGATTCAATGAATCTAAATTAAATCTAAGCTAACTTAAACTAGTAGATTATTACATAACAATTAGAATTATAAAGTTGACTCTGTAATAATAAAAGAGTTGTTTTTCTCTTACCTTACCAATCCTAGCTTAGAAGATGAATTGAGAGTTATCTCACCAGCAACTATAGCTCAACAAGGATGACGTGAAAGAGGTGAAAATGCTAAGATGGAGAGGGTAAGAATATGGTCTTGTCAATTGAAGAAGAGGAGTTGTGACAATTTGTTAGTTGGAGGTTACATTAAAAGGGCAAAGTAATGTGGAAGCAAAAAAAAAAAACTGCGACGACTTGCACATAACACCAATGATGGGTTGCAACAGTGCAGCTACCATGGGGTAAAAGACTTGTGATGACTCTATGGAGGGATGCAAATCGGGAATTGTTAGTTCATGCAACTGAAAAGGAAGACGAGGGAGAGAGAGAAGATAGGGGTGACAATTGTAGCTACCTACAAACCTTGGTTGACAGTACTTCACGATAGAATGTAGGCGTGAACCTTAAACTCTTATCGCTTATAAAATGACTTAAGAATTAAGATAGTGATAAGTTACACGGTGGCGAGCAATTCACATGTTAGTGGTTATCATAGAATTGGTTCGGATAGAAATTTATTTATTTTTCTCCTAGACTACATTTTGTTAAAAACTTTTTCATCATTTCTAGTAAAATTTCATGAATGTGAATTTAAACTTTAGTTATATTAGAGAAGGATAGAACTTCAATTTTAATGAATTAATTAAGCCTTTTGCTGAACTAGTTGATGACATTTGATTTTTCATGTTGCAGTGGTTGCATTGTGTCCGAACAATGCTGAAGTTCACATCTATAAATTTACTATGGACAAATGGGAGAGGGTCCATGTTCTCTTCAAGGTATGTTTGATAAGTTTTTGCTAATTTAAACTTACATTCATTTGGCAATTTGAAATTAGTGATTTTCATTTATTTAATATGTTACTTCGCTTTCTTCTTCATATCCTTCTGCAAGCATGACCAAATTATATCTGGAATAGATTGGAGTTTGAGATCCAACAAAATTGTAACTGCATCTCATGATAGAAATTCGTGAGTTTACAATGAGCATTCAATTTACTCATTTACATTATTTATGTATTATAGTAGTTTAGCATTCACCATTGTAGAATTATCAACGCAAAGTTACCGATTTTATTATGGATATTTTTCCAGATATGTTTGGAATCATGAAGGATCTGAGTGGGTACCTACTTTAGTCATTCTTAGATTAAATCGTGCGGCGCTGTGTGTTCAGTGGAGTCCTAAAGGTATTGACCAAAATTATAGCTGCAACATTTTTTTTCCATCTTCTTTCATGCTTGTTTGGTTCTCTTCTGTTTTCTTAAAGATGTTTAATGACCTCAATCATTGTGTCTAGTTGAGGCTTGGGGTTGGGAAAAAACATATTTTGAGGGATTTTGGGTCAATTCAAAATAAAAAATTTGAGGTTAAAGCAAACTTGAACCTGCCTTCAAATCAATTTAGTATTAGAAGCTAAGTTTTGTTTGAAGCTTGTGCGGTTGTGTTTTTGAAAATTGTTTATTGGACCCAATTTCAATTGAGCCATCTCTCCCTCAAAATTGTCTCCAAAAAATGTTTCCAAACATTTTAAAGTAATTAATAGGGCTTATGATTTGTGTGGAAATAAATTGACTTGATTCTAGTCTACTTAAAAATTTGTTGCTCTTTTGAACTATCATTATAGTGGTATCCCTTGATGGATATAATTTATATTTTCACCTAAATTTGTAGGTGTATAATTATGTGTTTATATACATAATATAAAATATTTTAGAACTAGATACTCTTAACATACAAACTTTGGGCATTGCTAATTTGCTTTGTGGTTAGCTATTGTCCTTTCTTATGGAATACATTGTTACGTGCACAGAACCTACGAGCGGAAGCCTTCCGGCTGGTTCAACAGAGCAGAACATAGCAGAGAGAATGGGTGGGAACCATATCAGCAGGGAGGATTCAGCCCCCCTTGTGGGGCCCAAAAAGCTATAATTCATTGTGTAAGAAGGAGAAATCTAGGGAGAGATAATTAGGAAGGTTTTAATGATAATTGGGAGGGGCTTATTTAGGGAAAGAGTTCAAAATTGAGAGGGAATTAATCAGGGAAAGGAGGTTGATTTGGGAGGGAAGTAGGAGTGTCTATTTAGGGCTAACTATATATTATTTTTAGTTTATGCAACTGATTTTTGCTGTAATTTTATTTTGAAGTAGCTCCTAGTAGTGTCTTTGGTTTATGGGAGAGCCGATCTACCTCTCGAATAGTATATCAAATGTATTTTACTTTCTTGTTGAAGTATTAATAAAAAATCAATCCCTATCATCAAGTTTCTACAAATTTCTTCATGTTCTCTTGCTATTTTTTCTTCCAAGACGCATCATACACCTTGGCGTTAGTTGCCCCCCTCTAGGGGTGTAAACGAGTCGAGTCGAGTTGAGTTTAGACCCTTATGGAGCTCGGCTCGTTACATGGAAAGCGAGCTCGAACTCGATCTCGAGCTCGATAGTCGAGCTCGAACTCGAGCTCGTCTAACTGTAAACGAGCTACTTACTCCCCTACCCCCTCCCATCGGTTCAATTTTGTTGGCGTTTGTCAACTTTCAAGTGCAATGTTGACATTTACTTGTTAACTCACCATATGTGTCTCATAGCTAATTCAAGCGAACACGATGAGAATGGCGAACAACTAATTCAACGCCATGTGAGCTGTGAGCTTGAAACACCTTGATATCAATCAAAATGGCACAAATGTTGCCTATTTGCCAATCAGATTACATGGACACATCCAAAGTATCAAAATCACATGAGTAACACCTCCTACCTTCAATTCGGTTAGATGCGATGAAAATGTCAAACAATGGGTGCGACATCTCATAAAAGTCACTTAAACGTTGTCCGTTCGCAAAATAAACTGCCATGACACATCCAAAATGTTAAAAAGGCCTAAAACATACACTTATATTGTCTAGATTGCCTCATGAAACTCAAAATTTTCCTGTGTGCAAATTGACTCAATGAATTTTGGATGCACTAAAAAAGAGGAATTATGTGAGAATGTGAACACATCTTTTTAATTAATTAATTAATTATTATCATTTTTAATTAAAAAATCATTTTAAAATCCAATATCCTTTTCCCTAACATCCCATGTATTGTAGCGGCGGTATTATCATCTCATTTGCACCATTCGGTTCGACTTGATATGGTCTCTTTCCCTCTCAGACCTCTTTAGGTTTTCTGTTAGCCGAAAATTGCACGTGAGTTGGCTCTCGGGTCATCTTCATGAAACTTATACAATATTCGTTGAACTCGTCGTTGTTCCCTCTCCCTATGCCTTTCCCTTTTGCATGCAACACCAACCAAACCCTTATGCTCTCAACACCCCTCTCTCCTTCTCCAAACCCAATCACTGCCCCTAGAAACGCCTCACAATCAAACCCTCACTCGCAAAGGCATCGACCGCCTCACAATCAAGCCCTCACTCGCAAAGGCATTGACCACCTCACAATCAAACCCTCAATTGTAGCTCTCTCCCTCTCAATGATTCCAAGTTTATGATGCATAGACAAAGACACGACGTCATGCCATGACAATATACTAACTTGGGACACATCAATTATTGAAAATATAGAACACGGATACAGGTTGGACACAATATTAGAAAAATTGAATAAATAAGGTATTAAGGATAATTGAGAAATAATATGTAATTTAACTATTATTTGTGCTTAAATGCTTAATATTATAATGTCAAGAGTCAGTAATCGATGTCGTATTATGCATCAAAATGGGAAATGATAATGCTCTGGACAGTCGAGTATCATTGTTATGAAATAGGCATCAAAATCGATGTTGTATTAGAAGATCACTCAACTATACAAGTATACAACAATAGTACACATTTTTGTTTCCCTTGCATTTGTCAGGTAGTGTGAGTATTGGTGCTAGCACATGGTAGCTCTTCAGTGTTTGGGAAGCTCCATCGATGGCCGCCTGATGATTTAATCTTTGCCATCTCCTAACCTATCAATTTGCCTTTTGCAAGAAGTTTGATATGAATTGTCGGTTGTAATCGTTAAGCCTACGAAGCTGTAGACTTATGGCATATTCTTTGGCTTTTGCCAATTGACGATGGCCGTGATCTCTTGTTAGACCACTAAAATGCTGATAATAAGAACCATATCCTGAAGAGGAAATGTTGTAAGCTAGAAAGAACATTTAGAAAACTTGGCATACAACAATGGACTACAAAAATCCTTGCTCACTCTATTAGATTCAAGTGGTTTTGGTTTAAATTTTTAGATAACACACTATTCATAGATTTTGCTTTCTAATGAGGATTTCATTCTCTGGTTTGAAGATTTTTCATAGATCTAAGTCTTTATTGATTATTATCTCTCTTGATGTCGAGAGGGTGCTTTTGATTAAATTTTATTAGCAGGGTCTTCGATGCTTATGGCTTTAGTAGTAGCAATTTGAATATGAGCAAATATATACGTATATTTGTTTAGAGCAAATAGTTGGGGGTTGATGACAAACTTGACCAAGATCTCTTGGTTTTTGTTGTCTCAGATTGTCATTGCTCAAGATCTACCTTAAAACTAACATCATTAAATATAATAATGTTAAACGAAATACATATTATTTAATAAATCTCACTGACATCTAGTAACATTGACATTTAACTAACCATACCTTAAGCCATTAGCTTGTGCAAAATTGATGCTCTCAACTTCACTTATGAAAACTTATGCATAAGCAACAAAGATTATCCAACCGATACATTCATGATGAGTTTTTATTTATGAAGTGATGATTTCATGACTTGGAAGAAATTCATGTGATTTGATTTTAGAGAATTGAAAAAATGTATCAATTTGCCTCTTGTAAACTTATCTGCCATGTTGCAGCTTTAGGTCAAGATATGAGAATGATATTTTAATTTCCAATCATAAAATCATAACTAAGTTATCTTAAATTCTCAGAAAACAAGTTTGCTGTTGGAAGTGGAGCTAAAACTGTTTGTATTTGCTATTATGAGCCAGAGAATAACTGGTGAGCCTTTCCGATTCATGTTTTGCTTCATCTAATTCATGAATACATTCAGTGCAATTAACTGCTAAACTAGTAAGGTGTAGCACGGAGCTGTATCCTTTAATTTAACATCTAGGTTCAATTATCTTGGTTTTCAATTTCTGGTGTAATGGTATTAATACTTTCAGTAACGGCAGAAGCATGAATTGTTATTATTTTATATGGATGGTTGTAGCACATATTAAAATATGAACCAATTTTAAGGAACTCACATCACTGAGTTTTTGGCAGCCTAATGTAAGCTGTTGTCTCCTGTACTAAAGGTTTAAGCTTGTTCACGAAGGGGTATATGTTCTATTATTCACCTTTTTGTTCATGTATTAATTTTTTTGGTCCTAATAATACTGTAGATGCTTGTCGCGCTGCTTTGTATATATGATGAGGACATTAGAGATCAGTGGCTATGATCTGGAGTTTTTTTTTGTGTTTTATGTACTAGTTTATTTTATATTTCTGTTTTTCCTATTTTTCCCCTAAGAGTGGTCATGTGGTGTTGTATCCCGAAGGGCATTTTAATCATTATTTCTTTTCTTTTCATGAGGCATATTTATAGGCTAGTTCTCTTGTATTTTGAGTTAATGATGAATATGAATAAAAATTTCAGCTTTCTTGTTCTTGATCTGTTTGTGAGTTCTTAAGAGGAGAAACCCTAGGAGAGGGACACACATCAACCGTCAGCCGTCAATGGATTACGGGGCTCGGGGTTAGTACTTGTAGTATTTTCTTATCGTCTCTTCCTTTCCCCTACATCCGACCACCTCTTCTTCCGTCGGCCACTTCAAGTCCCCAAGCCGCCGGTCAACCTCAACAATATCCCTTCCACTTAACCCACACCCCTTCCTCCTTAGCCAAACGCCACCCAAATCCCATACCCTAACCATCGGCCTTCCCCTCCCATGGATCCAAAATTGATTGTCTTATCTCTTTCCAAAAGTGGAGCATGAAGATTAGGAGGGAGATCCAACTCAAAATCTGATTTCAGATTCAGATTTTGAATTCTTTCCTAAATTGACATAATCCATATTAGGAAAGCGCTCAATTCATGGATCTAAGTTACCTAGCCCAAGCCCTTGGTTGTCGGGTTGAAGCCTCCACCCGCCGGCCCCTTGCTCCACCACCTAAAGCAGCCGGCCACATCCTTCTCCCCCACAATAGCCGCCGGTCACATAATTCCCTCCAAACTTTTGAATTCGAATCTACCATAAACGCTTTCTTAATTTAGTCCCACTAATTTATGACGAGAATTAAATTCAAATTCAAAATATTTGAATTTCAAAACTCTTCTTAAATCCTCATCCTTTAATTTAGGAAAATCACACAGTTAACTTAAATCTAAAATTAATTTCAGATTTAAGTATTCAATCCCCTAATTGCTTGGACCCACCTCCTTAATGCCTAACCCCTCTCTCTCTCTCCTCTCTCCTTGGCCGGCCCCTTTCCCCTTCTCTCTCTAATTAATTATGTCTCATAAATTAAGGATCTAATTAATTCAATCCCATCCCCACTTTTTCTCCTAATTCCCACTCGTTTCAAATTCAAATTTCAAGGAAATAACTCTCTGATTACTCACTAGATCTGAAATTATTTTAGATTGAACCATTTTCCCTTCTTCCCCTTTGCTTGGTCGAATCTATCCGATCCATTCCCCTCTCACTCTCTACTTTCTCTCTTAGACAATCATGCATGGCCAACCTGGATGTTGATCATGGGTTCGTAGAGGATTCTCTGGACTGGACCGACATTCTCCGATCTCCATTCTTCAATTTCAATTTGGACTTTGACGACTCCGTGGAAAGCTACATTGAACGCATCATCTTCACGTTGGCACCGTCAATTGAGGAACACGTCCCAACTAGATCGTGGATGATCGTGGGACGTCAACCAATCCATCCGTCACCGGCTACCTTCGGTGAACTCATTCCCTCACTCTTTATTTTCAAATGACATACTGGAATGAAACCCTCCGCATATCGTAAGCACATGCATGTTATGGGATGTATATAAATACACATTAATGCATGAGAGGGGTGTTTTGCATTTTTGGAGGTAGTTAGCTATGTGGGTAGCTATTGCTGACAAGTTTGCAGGACTTTATTTTAAACTTTGTTGACTTCTTCAGTCCACTTGTATAAATGTCGTGGATTTGGAAGGTGACACATTAACATAGCGCGCAGTACATTTATGTAACATGCATAGCATTTTAAAGTGTTTGGCACTAATTAATTGTCCCGGCAATTATTGTTTGAATGTGCACAACATTTTATTTAAAAGCTTGTAAATGCCTTCTGTCTGCTTGTACGAGTGTTGCAGATCCTGTGGCACAGTGCTACGCTTCAGTGGCTCGAGATTTTTGCTACTGATTCCATGCTTTTTCTTACAGGTGAATTGTAGTGTTGCATCCATAATAACCATGCGATACTTCATTGTTTTAATGCAAGCTCCATATTCTTGTCATTCGAGAGATCAAATCAAAAAATCATCCAATCCTTGCTCAGGCTAGATGAGGACATCCAAGTTGCATGTGGTCGTTTTGTGATAGATGAGGTATAATAATCTGATGAGACCAAAGGCTCGATCAAGGTTTAAAATTGCGTAACTGCGCCTCTAGGCGGTTTTCGTCCGTGAGGCGAGGCGTAAGCCTCGAGGCGGTCTGAGGCGTAAGCCTCACAAACACAGAATTACGTAAATGAAAAATTAAAGATTTTAGCAGGAAAATAATAGCAATAGTGGAAAATAAGAAAGTAGATGCAATAAAATTATGTCCCAAAGTACAAAATCACAAAATATTAGTTTAACAAAACTCCCAAAATACAAAAAACATATAAAATGAAATAATATCCCATCACTAAATGAGTCTTCAAGTGAATCTTCTTCTCCAATTGTATTTATGAATGTCATGTCATCTTCATCTTCAACATGACTCACTTTTCTCTTCCCTGTTCATTAAGACAAAAGATCATTATCATGTATTCATGTTCATTGCTGACTTGACATAAATGTAATGTAATAGCATATAAGAAGTTGTGGAATACCTTTACTTGATTGTTGTGCTGCAGAGCTAGTGGATGTGCCAACTGCAGTACTAGTGGATGTGCCAACTTGATCTGCTTCGCCCCTCAAGACATCCACACTTAGATCTTCTAACTGTAAGTCTGATAATGACAAATCTGTCTCATCATCTATGAACCACTCATTATCGGACGACACATCATCACACACTAATGGGTCCTCATCATCCTTCAACCCCTTATTCCTCAACCTCCTCTCTCTCAACCTCTTGTTGTGCATAATATATACCAGAGAGTTCATTCTGAGTGTTGATAGCCGATTTCTTCTCTTTGTTTGCACTTGGCTATATGTACTCCAATTTCGCTCACACCCAGAAGAAGAACAAGTGAGCAAAAATCAAATACACTAAAAAAAATAAATAAAACTAAACCCTAGTTTCTCTTAAACTTGCAAAATACATCCCTAAACTTAATAAAAATACCTAAAATCCAATGTGGAGTACTCCTTGAGGGTGGCCGGAAGTTTCCACTTCGCCGGAGAGAGGCGGCGCCGGCGGGAGGAGCGGCGGGAAGCAAGGCCGACCGCGTGAGGGAGCTCGGAATCGCGACCTGGAGCTTGCGGGAGGGAGAAAGGTCGGGTAATGCTGAAGTTTACGGGTTAAAGGAGAGAAAAATACTTCATTTTAAGTGAGTGGACCCTACCCAGAGAGGCGTACGCCTCACAATGAGTTGCGCAATTGCGCCTCTGTGGCGCGCCTCAGCCCCAGTGAGGCGTACGCCTCTTGAAAGCCCAAAATTGCGTAGGCTATGAGGCGTTTTTGGGCAGAATTGCGCAAAGGCGCGCCTCAAGGCGCGCCTCTAATTGCGCAATTTTAAACAGAGGGCTCGATTGATGTGCTATTAGATTTTTTTGTCTCCCCTTCATCACAAGGTAGTCTCCTTGAAGCATGCACAGGACAAAGCACATGATAGTTTTTAGTATCCCAACGATATTCTAGTATTTGATATGCACATGGAATGTGAAAGTTTCTCCTATAGTCCTTGACATGGCAACCAAGAGCAGCTTTCTCCAATCTATAGCTGCAACATTTTGTGGTGCATGTGTAGGATAGTAGACTGTGAAGCTTGGTCTCCGAATCTTCATTCAAATAGTGCAGGATTTTTCTTGAAGCCTCAATATTTTTGAAGAGATGATAGAATGCGATATTTTCTTCAACTGCTCATTCTTTGACTTTACAGAATCATTCAATTTTGTATGCTTAGTGCCACAATTAGGATTTACATCAACAAGCTTCCTCTTTGTACCAGGTTGCCTTTGTCTCAACTATCACTATTAGAATTCTTAAAGTTATTAATTGGAGGACTTAGTTATACTTGATCAACAAAATCCTCAGCTCCAACACTAGATAAACGTGCTTCTTCTCAGCATGGTTGTTAACTACGAGGGTCTTATTCAGCAGTTCGTAGGCGCTTGCAGTTGTTATAGTTTTTCTGCGTTTGTTGCGATCTTCAGTCCTTGCTCGTGAATAGTACGCTACCTGCATTATCTATGTTCATAGGGGACTCAACATCCTTGCAACATATCCACTATCATCTTTGCTTGTGATTGTTTGTATAGGACTACAGCTTTCATTCACAAGCCAATTGATATTGATTGTAGGAGTACTATAGCGCTCATTCTATGTCAGTATGAGCTGCCGCTTGAGCTGCACTCATTACTTGTTTCTCCTTATATGTTGACTGGCGAATTGTTGCATTCACTTGCATATCTTCCGTTGTTCATAAGAACTGCCACGACCGTAGGGAGATTGTTAAATTCGTACATGTTGACCGTCTTTGCTTGCGGGGATCTTCCATACTTGCAGCACATCTATCATCGTTGCTTGTAGATGTCATACAGGGAGTTTAATCATCTATCCATGTTAACTGGCAAGTTGCTACGACCGTTGTCGC